AAAATTGGTGGCGGAATATCAAATTTTCATGGCGGGATATCCAAAATTTTACCTCAAAAAAAGTAAACCAAAATCTTTACATATTTTTGGTATAAATTTGCACCGGTACAAATGATAGACATTTCCTTTTTTACAACCATATATTTATTTACTTTTTTATCCAGCCAATTATCAACTACCAATTCTAGAAGTCTCTTTTATTTTCTAACTAGGTTACAACCCTTGAAAACCACGGGTAAAATATTTATAAAATTTTATCAATCGAATAAAGTATAAGTTTTATTTAAGATACAATTTGCACCCTTTTTTAATTAGATAAGATTCAACATTACTTGAATACACACAGAAAGCAATTTTCCTGTCACCTACATAAGCACCTTACATTTCATTCACCACGAACACAACGTTCAATATTAAAATTACATGTTTACTAACTTCAAATAATCATTTGTGTATTGGCTATAGGCTTGAATTTTGATACGTTCTAATGTTTTATACTTTATATTATCACACTTCACTACAAGAAAAAATCCCTTTACGACGCGCAAACCACGACACTCACTGATTTATGTTACGCAAAAGAGAGTGACACTAAAAAAGTGTCATCTCTTCAAAATATTTAAGGATTTAGATCACGCATTATAGCGTGCCCTTAAATTAGTGTCAGAAGAAAAAAAAATAAAAACACGGAGGGCTACTATAGGAGATTCATTCAGGATTTCTCCAAGATAGTCGTACCCCTAACGCGGCTGACGAAGAAAGCCGTTGTCTTTCGATGGGGGCCTTTGAGACTTTGAGACAGAGATTGTGTGAGGTGCCAATCTTAGACCTACCAGAGGGCATAGAGGATCTTGTTGTATAGTGTGACGCGTCCATTTCACGTTTAGGCGCGGTGCTGATGTAGAGAGGGCATGTCATTGCTTACGCTTCGAGGAAACTGAAGCCTCACGAGGCGAACTACCCGACGCATGATTTAGAGTTGGGGGCGGTTGTCTTCGCCCTCAAGATTTGGCGGCATTACCTCTATGGAGTCTGGTGTACCATTTACACGGACCACAAGAGTTTGAGGTACCTCATGGATCAGCCAAATCTGAACATGAGGCAGCGTCGGTGGTTGGACGTGGTGAAGGATTATGACTGTGAGATCCTTTATCACCCAGGGAAGGCCAATGTGGTGGCCGATGCACTTAGCCGCAAGGCAGCGCCGATCAGAGGCGTGTGCATGAGGATGACAGTGGTGACTCCGCTGTTAGAGCAGATTTGGGAGGCTCAGCAGGAGGCTATGAAGGAGGGACATCGGAAGAGCGAGCATATAGTGGGTCAGGTTTCCTCCTTCGATTATGATAGCCGAGGGTTATTGACATTACACCGCAGGGTGTGGGTACCATATCATGGGGGTGCGCGCCAGGTTCTGATGGAGGAGGCGCACAAATCCCGATTCTCCATTCATCCCGGGGCGACGAAGATGTATAGAGATCTTCGTCTAGACTATTGGTGGCCCAGCATGAAACGAGACGTAGCTTGGTACGTTGAGCGGTGCTTGACCTGCAGGAAGGTCAAGGCCGAGCACCAGAGGCCACACGGCAAGATGCAGCCGTTGGATATCCCGCTGTAGAAATAGGAGGACATCACGATGGATTTTATCACCAAGCTTCCCAGGACCACACGGGGAGTGGATTTTATATGGGTCATCGTGGATCGGTTGACCAAGAGCGCCCATTTCATACCGATCCAGGAGAGTATTTTGGCAGAGAAGTTGGCCGATATCTACATTCGAGAGGTGGTGGCGCGACATGGAGTGCCAGTCTCTGTGATTTCAAACAGGGATGTACGGTTTACCTCCAGGTTTTGGAAGAAGTTCCATGACGAGCTGGGTACTCGTCTGCATTTTAGCACCGCTTTTCACCCGCAGACAGATGGTCAGTGTGAGCGGACCATCCAGACTCTGGAGGATATGTTGCAGGCGTGTGTACTAGACTTCAGTGGTAGCTGGGATACTTATCTCGCTTTGGCTGAGTTCTCATACAACAACAGCTACCACGCGAGTATTGACCGTCCTCCCTTCGAGATGTTGTATGGGAGGAGGTGCAGGACCCCGATATGTTGGGGTGAAGTTGGCCAGAGGGTCATGAGGAGCACCGAAGTGGTGCTCAAGACGACCGAGAGGATTCAGCAGGTTCGGAGCAGGCTTCTGAATGCACAGAGTCGGCAGAAAAGTTATGCCGACAAGCGCCGTTCAGACCTGGAGTTCCAGGTCGGGGATATGGTTCTCCTGAAGGTGTCACCTTGGAAAGGCGTCACTCGATTCAGGAAGCGGGGCAAGTTGGGCCCAAGGTACATTGGACCATTCAGGGTTGTAGCCCGGGTGGGCAAGGTAGCGTACAGGCTGGATCTTCCAGCCGAACTCAGTCAGATCCACAACACTTTCCACGTCTCCCAGCTGCAGAAGTGCCTGATGGACGACTCAGCGGTGGTACCCCTAGAGGATATTCAGGTTGATGACAGCTTGAATTACATTGAGAGGCCAGTGGCAATCCTCGACCGGAAGTCGAAGGATTTGAGGAACAAGAGTGTGGAACTCGTGAAGGTGCAATGGCAGCACCGGAAGGGGTCGGAGTGGACTTGGGAGCCGGTGGAAGAGATGGTGGAGCACTACCCTGAGCTGTTTCAGGATCGAGCAGCAGACTTCGAGGACGAAGTCTAAAATAAGTGGGGGAGATTTGTAGCACCTGGTTCTTGGTACGTATTCTTTGTAATTAACTCTTTAAATATTTGCATTTTTGGCCTTGGACTCGGCGAGTTGAAGGACCAACTCGCCGAGTAGAAGTGGGATAAGACGCGGGACTTAAGTGGTGGACTCGGCGAGTCGGGTCCCAGACTCGGCGAGTAGGTACTGTTCGGACAAAAACCCTAATCCGAGGGTTTGCACCCTATTTAAGCAATGTTATGACGGCCATATTGTCCCTTATGCTCCCCAAAACACTTCTCATTGAAACCCTAGCCGTTTGTGCTTTGTTGAGGCCATTTTTGGTGTTCTTGTGTGGTTGTTAAGCTTGGAAGGAAGGAAGGAGCTTGGAACTTGAGTTGGGACCAGTAGATCCAGGGATTTTACTTCATTTTCAGAAGCTTCAAGGTATAATGCCCCTGTCTTGACTCATCTATGTGTTTATTCATCTTTAACTTGGGATCTCTTTGGATTTCTAAGTCATATTTCGAATTTGGAAGTGTTGAGTGGGTTTGACTTCAGATCTGGATCTTAAGAAGGGTCTCATGGCATAAAGGTGCCAACTTTAGGGCCATGAGAGCCCCATGCACATTGTAGGACACTTTATATGGATTTTTGAGCTAAAAACCCCATGCATGTGCATCAAGTTTGGAACTTTACGTATAAAGTGAACATTAGGAGGCCAGATCTATGGTTTTGGTGTGTTAGATCTCATTTAAATCGACTGCATGGAATTGGTCAAGATTGGACTCGGTGAGTCCGTTCTGGGACTTGGCTAGTCCAAGGCATAAAGTCCCGTATCTGTTAAGGGTCTAAAGAACTTAGCTAGGCGTTAGAAGGACTGTAGAAGGTCAGAAAGGGTGACCCAATGTTCTGGACTAAGCCATTGTTCGGGATATTCATGGGACTCGGCGAGTGCATGAGTAGACTCGGCGAGTCCAAGGCAATCTTCTTATGGATGAAGATGAACTCGACGAGTTGTTCATACAACTCGGCGAGTCAAGGACATGACCTGTTTATCAGTTGAAGATGAACTCGACGAGTTATTCATACAACTCGGCGAGTCGGATGAAGATTCAGTCGATGTTCATTTAGAAGGGAAACTCTTCAAGTCATCGCCTAACTCGACGAGTAGAGACGGGTATAAGGGCAGATGGAAGGATAGGGACTCGGCGAGTTGGCGAGCCAACTCGGCGAGTCAGGTCAACTAGTAGTTGACTTTGACTTTGAATTTGACTTGGTCAGGGGTAAAATGGTCGTTTTACCCTAAGAGTAGATATCAGTTCTAACTAAGTGTTTTGTGGGAATTATAGCCGGAGGATTTCCGAAGCAGCAGCGACAGCAGTTAGAGGATTCCCGCACAGATCAGCAGCTACTACGAGGTGAGTTACCTTCCAGTAGCGGTGGGCCTACGACCACAATGCCGGCCCACTAGTAGGGGTTGTATGTTAGATGATTGTCTTTGTGATATCATTTAGGTTTGCTACTACCTCATATGTTGTATGCTGGCATGATATGCGATAGTAGTAGAGTTCGGTTGTTAGGACCGAAGGGTAGGTCAGGCACCCCAGATGTGTCTGACAGTACGTGATTATATGTTTATATGCTGGCTTGATATGTTATATGAGATAGCGGTAGTAGGAGGGGAATAGTCCCCAAGTTCAATTGTTAGGACCGACGGGTAGGTCAGCACCCCAGAATGGCTTGACACGGGTAGGTCAGCATCCTAGAATGGCTTGACACGGGTAGGACGGCACCCCAGAATGGCCGCACGGGTAGGTCGGCACCCCAGAATGGCGTACCGGGTAGGTCGGACACCCCAGAATTGCCTGGCAGTATGTATGTTATGTGATTGTATGGTATGTGGTACGATGGGGAAACTCACTAAGCTTCGTGCTTACGGTTTACAATTTTGGTTTTAGGTACCTCTTCATCAAAGGGGAAGGAGCTGGCGCGGTAGCGGCACATCATACACACATGTTGTTTTCCGCACTATGAGATTATTCTGGGATTTGTACTCTGACATTATAGTTGATTTCATGTTTTGGGTTGCAGACACGAAATATGTTTTAAGAAATGATATGATCGAATGTTGTTTATTTACAAATGTTTTGCAAAGTGTTTAATTAAAAATGAAATTTTTGGACTTGAAAATTGGGTCGTTACAGGTGAAAAGGTATCTTAATATTGGTTCGGAAGCTGCTCTCAAAGAAAAAATCAAAATTATCGATAACAGTATATGAATTGATACAAAACAAGAGGAAACAACTGAAAAATGAAGAGGTATCTTTATGTGCGTAAAAGTAATTAAAAATCTTTTCTTTCTGTTGGGTTAATTAACCCTTCAATTTTTTTCTCATTTTAATGCTTTCTTTGTGCGTGGTCATGAGGTACAAAGATTTACTAGGGGGTGTTTGGATTAGCTTTTTAGCTTATTGCTTATAGCTTATTTGTGGTGGGAATAAGCAATAAGCAATAAACATGTGGAGAGATGCTTATTAAAATTAGCTTATTTAGCTTAATAAGCTGGATTTTATCCAAACTCTCAAATTAGCTTATTGTGGGAATAAGCAATAAGCACCTCTTTTTTTTCTATACAGTGTCGTTCTCAACGACGACATATTGTCAATCGTGATTCCTTAACCTAATCTTCTATTAGGCGAGTTCTTTAATTTTTATACATTCTTTAATTCAATTGTGATTCCCAAACCTAATGAGCCATTTGTTTCAGAACTTCTTACAACTCTTCCAACAACCGTTGTTGACCTTGAGCCTCACCAGATACATACGTCTTATGAATATGTAAGTTTTAAGTGTCTCGAGTATGAGATTTTTTATATATTTTTACAAATACTTATTTGATGTTCTTGTGAAGGTAGGTTGGTCATATGATTCAAGCAGAATCTGAGGAAACAGAGCGTGATGAGTATCTGCAGAGGCTGATGGATCTTCCCAATCAGGTAGGGTTCTTTTGGAAGGATAATTCTTAATTTGGATTTATTAATATATTGTCTTATGATAAGTTTGATTTATGCAGCAATGGGTGGAAATTATAGGATATGCACACGAAAATATGGATTTATTGAAAGATCAAGATGTCATTAGGATTGTGCTTAACATATTGAAGGTTCTTTCTTATACTAATGAATATAATATTTAATCGACTCTTTTTTATTTTTATTAATGCAATCTTTGTTTCCTGCAGACAAATAAAAGTGTTTCCACTAGACTTGGAACAGATTGGAAAGTAATTTGTGCCCCTGATTATGGATCATGTGCAAGAAACTAACCTGATGCTAGAGAATCTAAAGGGTTGACTTTTGTATGCCCCACAACTTGTTTCAGGTAAGGAGGGAAGAATTACTTTAGTTTGCTCAAACTGAAATCATTGGGCTAATAGAAGGAAACCATATATGAAAAAATACACCTTTTCTGATGTAGGAAATAGAAGAACCTGTTACACATATTCAGTTGTGCTGCAGATTGAAGTTACTTTTACTAAAGAGCCTGTTAGACATATTCAATGGTATGTTGAATCATATTTCTTGTAAAAAGACATGAATGCCCTTCTTGTTTGAAGTAGTTTTTTGTTTATTGATATGAAGTTTGGTGACATCAGGTGGGCCCACAAGCAATATATGTAGTAGGGCGTGATGATGATGATGACGAATCAGCTAGCAAGTTGGGAAATAATGGAGGGTGAAGATAATGAAATGGAAAATCTTCAAAAGGCACTAGAGGTTCATTTCTATTTCTGTTTCTATTTATAAAAATTATAATAAACAAATAAACTAGTTTAAATTTTAAATTGTTTTTTTGTTAAGGATCTTTGGATGCAAAATGGACCAGAGATGAGTGTTGATACAAATGAGCAAACAGCTGAAAGCATTCAGACAAATGGTGCACTTTCTATACCCTTAGCTGCACTTGGATTCATGACAAGGTTAGCATGTGGAAAACTCTTAGAACCATATATATTTTTGTAGATGAAAAATGCTAAGAAACAGGAAAATAGGGACGAAAAAATGCAAAAAATAGATTCTTTTCTATAAATTATCCAGAAGCCAATCTTTCAAGGGTATTATCATTTTTATCTTCCCTATGTAATGTTACATTATCACCCCCATAATTACCTGTAATGTTTCTTTTTGCAACTCCCTAGATCGTTTTTATTTATGAAAAAATGTATGTTTAATTTGATTTATATGTTTATCATTCTGTTAGTAAGGTAAGAAACAAGTCTTTATTTATCTATATCTTCTAGAAATGTAGTTTTAGGTGTGGGACCCTTGTGAGTGGCGACAACAGTGGCAGTGTTCAATTCACATGGTACTCTGTTGCAAGCACTTTCTTGCCATGAATGCTTTGGCAGCTAGTCCTTCCCATACGTACCAAGGTGTTCTCATTCAGTCAGGTACTGCATACTATTTTAAGTTTTAGTTTGTTGGACTTGGATTGGACGTTGTAGTATCATATGATGATTTCTGTTTCATGTTATATTATATAAGGTATTTGGTGACAGATCTTGTTCTCCTAGTCCTACTGAAATGAAATGAATAATTAGATTCCTTGTCGCCCTGGGCTTGGTGGAGCAATTGTGCCAAGATCATGTAATTAGTTACATTCATCACCTTATTGCCATTTCCTCCATCAATGGGAAATCCTTTTATATTAAAATGCGTTTGCTCTTAATTTTTACAGATGGGTGAAACACCATGCCCTGTGTGACCCATGGATTGTAGTCTTGAAACTTCAAGACAACCCTGAGATAAAAAGGCTTGACATTTAATGATTTCTTACAATGATTCACTACTGAAGTTTCTAACTTTTTTGGCCTCTTTTTAAATCTTAGGATATCCCAACTGGTGAGGCTACCAAGGAACATGCTTTTATCTGTAGACAAACAATTGTACCTGGTACAAGATTGACTATAATGGGAATTTACAACATATTTCAAGCTTCAAATACATCCACATCGTAATACTTTCACTCTATCTATTCACCAATAACATTTAACTTTCATACATTTTGAATATAGCTAAATATGGCAATCTTTTTTTTGTTTTGATCCAGTCACAAAGGAGCAGTTGCTATTAGACAACCGTATATAAGAGTTGTTGGAATAGAAGAAACAAATGAAGCTACTCGTGGTCCTGCCAATTTCACACAAGAAGAGGTAAAGTTACTATCATTTGATGCAAATTATGTTTGTCTTTTAGTTGAAATAGAGATTGTATTTCTTTGGTGTTGTTTATTACTTACTGGGTTACCTTCATATTGCTTTCAGGTTGAAGAATTTAAGAGATTTGTAGTAGAAGGCAATGTATATAAAAACATATGTTCCAATACTTCCCCTTCCATATTTTGCCATGAGGATGTTAAAAAAGTTGTGGGTTGTCTCCTGTTTGGATGATCAAGGAAGGTATAATTCCAACTTTGCCCTTGAATAATGTTGTCTTTACTTAATAATTTAGGAGCTCATTTCCTCTATTTCTACAGAATTTACCTGATGGTGTAAGATTGATGGGTGATATTAGTGTTTTGCTCTTGGGATACCCATCCACTGCAAAATCACAGGTAACCTTAAATTCTTTTCATTTCTTTTTATTACAGAGTTGTAATTTTAATAACAACACTGTAACTTTCTTATCTTTTTACTTTCTTTTTAATACAAATATTCTACAACACCCTTCCATATTTCTCCAATTCCAATTTCTAATTTAACATTATAAAAATCATTTAGCGCGAGTTTTATCTGGAAGCAGGGGCTATGGTCTTGGCTGATGGTGGGGTTGTCTGCATTGATGTTCATAATAACGTTATTATGAACATAAAGGTTATATGTGTCTACTTCAATTTTATTAAAGGCTACATATATCTTTATTATGTGTATTTTAAGATACCCTTTTCCTATAACAGATTATATCTCCTGTATTGGATATGATACCTATGTCTTTGGGTATTAAGCTGGCTGCCCTGGCTTTTAGAAAAGAACTCATAGATCTGGAAAAGAGGTTGAGTGCAAATTTAAGTACTTACAGGGATACTTTATTTGAGGAATGCCTCAGATTCCTGAAGGAGGTGGAGTTTGGTGTTCGGGAATCTTCCAATCGGTTGCATAGCCCTGGTAACATTCAGACTATTTATGCAGAGGCAACTTCTGTGTTCTTTAAGGTGTGTGTACATTTTCAATTTCAATCCCACACAACACTGTTGATATAAGTTACCCTTGTTTTTTTAGGTTCTTCAGTCGCATACATGCTTGCTTACTTCTAACCAACTTACTAAAGAAATGGAAAGATTATATCTGAAGTCTCCAAACAATAGTCTCATTATAGAGTACATATCATTAAACTTTTTTAATGTTGTTTGTCAAGGAGACTATTCATAACTGATGCGAACAACAATCTCATTAGATATTTGGATCTGAACAAAGAAGATGCAAAAGTTGTTACACTTGAGCTAAAAGGAGTTCAGCCTCATGTATGTGGAATAATTGTTGTGCACAATTCACAAGCTGCTTGGTGGTAAGTGGAGTACCGGATAATCTGAATGTTGAGATAAAGAAAGCAAGGTATTACTTTGTTTCACATCACATAGCTTTGTCATTAAAATTACAATTATACCCTTCATGTGTAGTTTTTTGTCATCACATAGCTTTGTCATTAAAATTATACCCTTCATGGTGACTCTAAAATTTCATTTTTTTTTTCAAAACTGAAAGGGGACTTATTATATGTAGAAAATTGTTTCCACAACAATTCGTCATTTAAGATGTTATAAATTTCATTTTCCAAAATGAGAGAAAAAAATTAATTATTAAGGCCTCTAATGAATGTCAAATACAAGACAAGATCAAGAAATTTGAATAGTCTTGTAAAAACAAATAATGGGGCAAGAGTCAACATGGCGAGAAGGAAGGAAATCTTCTTGCTGTTGCTACTGTTGAATACAAGGTAGGGGCAATTATGTCTTTTCACCAATCTTGTTACATATTCTTAACTTATCCAATTTTGGCAGGTTGATCCTGTTACATGGCCAATAATGATCTTTAGGTTTAGGGTCTGCTAGAAGGATTGGAGATTGCAATTAAGCTTCTATCGAAGACTTCACGCTAAGGACTTGATGAATTTAAGCTAGCAATGTTTTACTTGATTTGGACATGAACCCTAACATATCATAATTTGGCATGGCTATAAGCTTTGGAGGAAACGAGACTCAAGAAAAAGCAAACACACAGAGAGTTGTTGGCACATAGTAAGCTAGATAATGCAATTGTATATAAATTCTGCTTCTTTTGAGTTCATTTTTTTAATAACATTTACTCACTATTGGAATAAAGATTTGTATTTGACATATTAGTGAAATGAATTATCTTTGTTATTTATGGTATTTTATTTTGTATTATGAAATTTTTAATGTGTTATTTAATTTGAAAATTAGTAAATCTATCAAAATATATAATTTTTAAAACATTTAACTTTATGACACGCAAAAATGTGTGTCGTCTTTTTTTTTTATGACAAGGGCTTTAATGATACGGAATGCGCGTCGTAAGGTTACGACACGCAAATGCGTGTTGTCTTCTTTATGACAGGGCCTTCCTTGACACGCATTGCGTGTCGTAAGAGCGCGTCGTAAATAGGCGACGCGCAAAAGCACGTCGTCTCTCGTTATGACAGGGCCTTCCTTGACACGCATTTGCGCGTCGTCTGAGCGTTTTACGACGCGCATTGCGTGTCGTAAAAGGCTGTTTTTCTAGTAGTGATGTAATACATTATGAATCGTATCCTATATACTTCGAGTAAAGGATCGATTGCATATGCTATAATATTCTCGTGTTCTAATTTTCTAAATGCCTAGGGCATTAAAAGGGAAAATGGAATAGAACCGGATATGACTAAAGTGGTTAAACAACCGTTAAGGACAATCTAAGGTGCGCCAATGATTGGTCGCTTAAAGACAGTTGGAAGTATAGTATTGGATAGACCATATCCACATTATTATGATTAGAAAGGATTCTATGAATAATGAGTTGTCATATGGTAAATATGGAAGTGTTTTCCATAATGAGAGTTGGAGATTAAGAATATGTGAGAAAAGTTAGAAACTTTTATGCAAGAAGGATGTTCAAAGGAATATACTTTGAGTTTGAGACTTCGCTTCCTTGGAATTGTCTTGTAACAATTTCTAGTGGAAAGTTTTACAATATCGTTGGTCTAGTCTCTGTGACTTTTGGTACCTAGACATTACAAAAGAATCATTGCATAATAGTTATTTTAGAATATAACACATTCTAGCAGTGATTAGAATTTGGAATTCTTACACTTGCGATAAGGATTTGGGATTGTGAAATGAGCGTCATTGGAAATGTTTACAATTGATCTATTTCACATAGTAAGGACCATAGAGAAACATAGTGTGCATGATTGGAGCATGGGATAACTATTGTTTTAATTGATCAAGCATTAAGTTGATTATTCAAAACATTATACAATGAATAATGAGTAATCAATATGGTGATTAAATAAAATGTGTTTAATTTACACTCAAAAGTTTTGGGGCCATATAGGATTAGTATTATTCTTGTGTTTCACTTTGCATGTTTTAACTTCCTGGATAATAAGATTATTCAAACTATCAACAGTCGATCATATGTTGGAAGTAAGTATGAAATAAGACTATCATGAGTTGGCTTGTAGATTGTCTAAGGTGTTAGACATAACAAAAGTTTGCTACACCATTCATGAGTGCTCCTGAAATAATATTTGAGAATTGGATTTAACCCGCGATCACTTGAATCACTTCATGGAATTTATCACGAGTGATTATGAGACGATAATATCATATAATCTTCAAACTAAGATATATGAGTTGTTGACTACAAGTTGGTTGTGCATTGATGGCACGAAAACACATTAGTTACTTGATGTTATAAAACATGTCATTGTGCATAATTTGATGAGTAGTTAGTACAAGCATATAATGTCGAAGTTTATATGCTCCTTTTATCCTAAGATGATTAAAAGCGATATCTTGGGCCCCTCGATAATTTTGTTTTGACTATATGTCAGGCCCGGTCAGAACTAAATTGATGTGTTCAATTATGTTCTATGTCAGACGAATCGGAAATTGGGAAACAAATTGCAGGAAAATAAGTATGAATATGTTCCATGTATTTGTCCGCATAGATATCTTGAAAATAGAGGAATAATGATCCCTTATCTAAAGGATGCGTCACTGACTAGGTCAAAGTTCGACAACGACTTTTAAGAGCGTACGATTTCTACTCGGGTTGTAGTTGATGGGTTTTGAGCAAAACATCATTCCTATGGTGTACATGCAAACCCTAATAGCTTTTGGATCTAGTTTGTCTAATGAACATGCAATTGAATATCCAAAGCTATAAACCCTAGATCTAGCATACAATCAATCATATTAACATGTGAAAGGGTTTTAGATCTTACCTTGATTGTTATGTAGCAATAACAATCGAAAATCCTCCTTGTAATGGATTTAGAAAGCTTAGAGTCACAAGCGTCACTCCTCTAATGGCTCACAAACACCAAGAGCAAGAGGATGAAGAATAAGGAGAGAGGAGGCTGCCCAAAACGTCCAGAAACCCTAGTGGAACTCTTAGCCACGTTTTTGGGGCTTAAGGGTACTATATATACATGTAGGCTATTAGGGTTTTCAACTAGGAAACCCTAATCTGACTGCTTAAGCCCTAAGCAGCCCATGGACCCTTTTAGAATATCCCTTGGACGATTTCTAATGGGTTTCCCCATAGAATTCGTCTAACCTATTATTCCAAAATGATCCATAGCCCAAATGCAATTATCTTATAATTACAGTTCCAGTCCTTAAGTTTAATTAATCTCTTTTAGCCACAAATTAATTCTTAATTAATTATTGACTAATATTAATTAAACAATATGATTTCTCCTTTAATATATTATTCTCATAACATATTAATAAATCATAATTAATCCTTTCTCTTCATAATTCATCCTATCAAGTTGCTTTGGTGAAGGCAACCCAAAAGGACCATGCACCATCGGGTCAAGTACATACCAAAATAGTTATGGACTTAGACACTAATCCAACAGTCTCCCACTTGGATAAGTCTAATAACTATTCTGCGTATGACTTCAGATCCTGATCCGCAATCGTAGCTTTCAAAAACCGCTGTCAACTCTGATCCTATCAGAAGCGTGTCCTTTAGATAAGGGATCATATATTCCTCCATTCGAGATATCGTATAGACGTGAGACATGGATTGAAATCATTCTCTCAGTCTATGTGTTGTTTCCCGATTTCTGATTTACGACGACTGACTAATTGAACAAATCAAATTAGCCCTGGCCCGGCCGAGCACTTTCCTTTGTCATCACTAAATCATCGAGGGGCCCACAGATATCGCTTTTATCCCACATTGGGTAAAAGGAACGGATAAACTTGACTCAATGCTCGCTTGTACTCACTCACCGAATCACACACAACAATACGTTTTATAACACCAAGTTACTGGTGCGTTTACATATTATCAATGCGCAACCGACTCACAAGATACAACTCACACATCTCGGTTTCAAGAATATAAGATTTATCGTCTCACCAATCACTCGTGATAAAATCCATGAAGCGATCCAAGTGAGCGTGGGTTTAATCCAATGCTCAAATCATATTCGTAAGCACTCATGAACGTTGTAGCAACCTTTTGCTATGTCTAATACACTTTAGACAATCTACACACCAATTCATGACAATCTTCTTTCATACCTACTCCCAAAGTATGAGTGATTGTGGAACGTTCAAATAATTCGATTATTCTCAATAACTCAATTATTTAGGAAGTCAAAACATGCAAATTGAAACACAAGAATAATACTAATCTTATATGGCCCCCAAACTTTGAGTATAAATAAAACACTTTATTTAATCACCATATTGATTACTCATTATTTGTTGTTTCGGTTAATCAACTTCTTACTTGAATTATAACGACAATTGTCCCATGCTCTTAGCATGCACACCATGTTTACTTATGGTCCTTACTCTGTAAAATAATATAATTGAACAACATTTTCAATCACACTCTTTTTACAATTTCCAATCCTTACCACAAATGTAAGAATACCAAATTCTTGCCACTTATAGAACATGTTGGATTCTAACACTTTATGCAACAGTCCTTTCGTAATGTCATGGCACAAAAGTCACAAAGACTCGGCCAATGAAATCACAAAATGCTCTATTTACAAGACAATTCCATAGACATGAAGTCTCACATTCAAAGTACATTCCTTTGAACATCCTTCTTGCATAAAAGTTTCTAATCTAGACATATAGATTCTTAACGTCCAACTCCCAATCTGGAAATATTTCCATATTTCCCATATAACAACTCATTATTAATAGAATCATATCTAATGATAATAATGTCAATATGGTCCTTCCATTATTATACTTCCAACTGTTCACAAGTGATCAATCCTTGGCGAACCTTAGATTATCCTTGACAGTGGTTTAACTAATTCAGTCAAATCCGATTCTAGTCCTTTTTCCCTCTTAATGCCCTAGGCATTCGGAAAATTTTAGAACGGTCGAATATTACAATGACATGATACTTTACCAGTCTTTTGCTATAATATTTCTATTTGCCATGTTCTCACGATTCGAACTATGAAAAGGGATGTCGTAATCATAATCGAGTGTGAGAATGCAACAGATATTTCCATATATAGAATTCTCTTACGTTGAATCCTTTCAACATAACATCCATATATCTTTTTGACTAAATTTGATCAAAATTTATCGATCTAAGCCTTTAGATTTGAAACAAAGTATAACATTCTCTCCCTTAATTATAGCAAAACAACTTTTCAACCTATGCAACTTTGCAAAGTGAAATTTGTGTTTTCTATAATTAATATTGCTATCTTGCAATAATAATCATGCTCCCACTAACATGATGATTATATCCATACTAGCATAACATTTATGCTCCCACTAGCTTTGACACGTATTCAGAAACTAGCTAAACTTCGAGAAAACAATACTTATTGACTTCCAAAGTTCATTGTTTCTAATACGATATGCTTTGATAAGCTTTTATCTAAGCATCTCAAACTCATACACCCTTCTTTAGACAGCTCGCATGTGTGTCTAAACATTCCAGAACTTTTAGCAATAAGTCTCGATTTGTTCAAACTAATTGTCAAATCTCACAATTCGAACTATGAAAAGGGATGCCGTAATCATAATCGAATTTGAGAATGCAATTTACATAATAGCTATCTCCTTAAAATCTCTCTTAGCGAAAGCGTTTCC